TCGATGTATCAGTTTCAATTCAATTTTTTGCAGTTTTAAATATTACTCCAGCTACTCCAGTAGCGAGATTTTTTTTCTTATATAAGTTCTAAAATTAAAAATTATAAATAAATTTAAAAAACCTCTTTAAGGGAAGTATACCCGTATGAAATAAATTTACATCTATATTATTTATTAAAATAAAAATTAAATTGTACTTAGGCCGGGGTAAGAGTACATACTGCGAACTTTTACCCCAAATTTATTTCGTACTCTTACCCCAAATCAAAATGTATAAATTAATCTTTATTATTATTTTATCTTTGTAACCATAGGTTCCCAAAGTGTGCGCCGCGGCTCCCTAGTGCGCCGCGATGTATGTATAATGGCGCCGCGCCGTCATTAAATACTATCAGGTCTAACATTTTCCTTATGATTAGTCATGCTATGACTTAGAGAAGGGCGCCCTGAAAAAACCTTGGATCAAAAAGGGCGCCTTGAGTCGAAAAAGTTTGGGAAACACTGTTTGTAACGATAGTACTATACGACCCTTTTTATACAAAACTAATATCATATTATATTTGATTAACAGTTGCATACCTAATACAAGTGATATTTAGTATACAAAATTAGCTTTTGAAAAAATTGGAATTTAAAATCAGATGATTGAATAACTTAGCTCATATTTAATAAAATAATATTCCAATAATGTGCAAACGGATGCACATAGAGAAGTGATAAAATATTTTTCGTTAATAAACATTTCAACCATATATTGAAAATTAAATTTATAATAGCAAAATTGGATTTTACCTCATGCTACTCTAAACAAAATTCAAGAAAAGCAATGTTTGTACCTTATTCTGTAATACATCTATTAAAGACCTTACAGTATCAAATTGTAATTTCAAGTACCTATAAATAGCATACATTTATGGATGAAATAACGAATGTCATACAGGGTAAGGTACCATGGTACATGATATTTGCTGATGATATAGTTTTGGTAGGAAAAAATCTAGTAGAAGTTAATAATAAGTTGGATGAGTGGAGGTTAGTTCTTGAAGGAAAGGGATTTAGAATTATTAGAAATAAAACAGAGTATATAGATTTTGATTTTGGAGGAAGATACCAAGAAATTGGAGGAATGAGGAGACCAATAACAATAAGCGGTGATGTGATGGATGAACTCGAGAACTTAAAATATTTAGGATCATTGATACAAAGAACGATGATTTTGGCATGTATGTTAAACATAGAATGGTTAGGTTAGGGTGGCGATCAACCGATTGTCCTCCTTATAACTGCTACTAGGTTTAGGCATAATCACAACTAGGGAGGGGGGCTAAGGGGGATTAGTCCTCCTCCATAAATATTCTATGTTATAAATGGCATACTGCATACAATATACTTAACTCACAATAGTGTCACATACAAAAAAAGACACATTTTAGTAAATCCAACCTGGCTCAAAATCTAAAATTTATTAACATGGTATATAAGAGTGGGGGTAATCTACAGATTATTTTAAGTTTTGGTAGGAGGGCTGTAGTTCCCCCAGATGTTTTGCCCTATTTGCACCTATGGGTTTAGGACAAGAATGGCCGACCCTAAATAGTTGAAAGAAAGGTGAAAGAGAAGAAGAAAAAGAAGTACCTAAAACACCATAAATTTCATTAAAATTGTTCAAAAGCTATGAAATTTCTATAAAGTGCTACTACGAATAATATTTAACACCTTACAGTTCATGACATTTTTAGAATAAAACAAAATATTCACGTTAGTTGATCAAGTAAGTTTCCTAAATTACCTAAAACATTATCAAAATTACACGAAGGATTAAATAATAATATAATCAATTGTGGAAAAAAATTAAAATTTATAAATGGTCGTCACAAAAATATTTAATTTTTACTTTTTTACATATTTTAAAGATACACGGTAAAATGAAAACCGTGTTTAATTATGTAACTTTTAAAAATTATCCAAAATTATTTTACCAGTTTTTAATCATTCGTGGTGCAACAGATAACAATCATTTTTCTTTAGATTTTTTCTACTGCTCAATAATATCAGTAATATTTATACACAATAATTTTGTTTTATAGAAAATCATATGAGGCCTTAAATTATTTATGCTGATTTCGAAAAGGCTATTCATGTGTAAGTATTCAAAGATTAACCACAATTTAAATTAAAAATATATAGATTTCACTTAGGACAGTTGTGGTGGAGAAAAATTAATTCTCTAGGACTCAAATGGTTTAAAAAATAAAGAATCAGAGATAGGGAAAATATTGAAGTACTTTTTCGGATTACCTTTATTATCATTTAATATAATATAAAACGTTATGTTGAGTTGGTGGCTATAAAATTAGTATATGACAAAATTGATGCATTTTTTGATTATGTATTTGAAAATTATTTTGAAAATGATGGTGATTTTTTACCAAATATATATGGGCAGATTTCAGTTCCTTAACTAGATCTTGGCGAAATAGGCGGTTCTCAAGGGCATAACAAAATAAGGGGGGCACGTTTGAATTAAATTAAAATTGGTTTTACCGTATAAAATAAGCAATAAAATAAAATTTGCCAAGAGCGCTGCAAGGAAAAATTATGGCACTGGCAGATTTTTAGATCATTTCAGTTGCAAATTGTTGCGAATTGTTTCATGGAAGACTGAATTCACGATTTTATTCCAGTTAATTTTTTTTTTTTTATTGATTAAACATTTAACAGTGATCCAATTCACTTAAATTAAAATTAAAATAAAAAAATTGATAAAGAGGAAAAGTTTGCTGATGAAAATATTAAAAAATCTGAAAAAATGCCAAATTTCATACTAACAATTTGTTTAAAATGTAATCTTGTAAATTCATACCACATTAATTTTTCCCTTATATTATTTATTATGACTTATTATTGATGTTGTTGTATTATCACCTAACATTTAATTTAATTTAATTATTACTATAATCATAAAATTAATATATCGTCAGCAAATGCACACATACACATACACATACACATACACATACACACATCACCTTCACGAAATGCTGACCAAATAGATTGCAATAGAATAAAACGCCCCCCGCAAGACGTGATGTTCGTTCTACTGTCATCGATGTAGAGGACGGAACGCTTCCCGATTTACAAGTGAAGTGATCGGTCATTCTTTTATATTTTTTTTATTAATAAATATTTTTCGTTATCTTAAATTAAAAGGTTTTAAATATAATTATAAAAGGTGTTCATATTAAATAATTTTTTCTACTTTACGTACTTGTGCAAATGTATGATAAAGTTGGTACATTTACAAAAAGGGTTTTAAAACTATATTGTATTTCAAATCTCAATCCAGTGCTAGATCATATTCTTTGTCAGTTTGAGGCAGTGGCGTATGTAGGTTTTCATTTCAGAGGGGGCCAATTATGTATTTGATTTTTGGGTGGAAGGGAAGGAAGAAGCACACTATTACAAAAAAAATTATTTTAACACTATAAGACTTTTCGACTGTCTTTACACCATCAGAGAAATAAGAAACTCAATATTTTTTTTGATTTATTATTTTTTAAAAGTATAAAAACTATATTGTAATAAACAAATTTTTTATTATAGTTACTCAAAATTCATCACATATTTTCTTAAAAGAATGAACATATTTTATAAATATAAAATTTTAAATTATTGTATAAGCAAAATTCTCAGTGTCACGACAAATTTTCAGAAATCCCCAGCATTATGACATATCCATGTTAAACATAACAATCTTTAACAATGGTGTTTTTAATTTCGGAGGGGGCCCTGGCCTCCTTCCCCCGCATAAATACGCCCCTGGTTTGAGGGGAGAGTACAATATAGTTAGGTAAAGGTTACCTCACGCTCGAAACATCCAGTGCTAGATCTTATTCTTCCTCAGTAGTTTCGAGTGTAAAATAACTTTAGAGCTACTAAAGGAAAATAAGTCTTTTAAAAAACCTGTTTTCGACTATCCTATTAAGCAATGCTAGATTGTATTCTTTGTCACTTAAGAAGGTAGTCATCCGGGCCAATTATAAGGTTTTTCTTTACGTGCTTGTTTGACGGTTAGAGTGTCCAACAACCGACAAATATTTGTTTTTTGTGTTGCTATACATCAAGCCTTTGCGTGACGTATACGACAATGTGAAGAGAAAATATTATTATTATTATTATTATTATTATGTACCTATATTCTAGGATTAATTTTATTTTATTTATAACAAGCACAAATATTATTATTGATATATACGTTTGTAGCGTATATTATACTGAGCAACATTTTTAACTATACCTTGGTATTCTAGATAGTGTTTGAAATTTTGAAGTATGAAATGTTTCATACATCTATAATTCTAGACAGTCTTAACTCTGTTTAAAATGGGAAGGAATACCTACTGTTGAATATATCATAATAATTCAAAAAGTATTATCATGAAAGCTTGGGGGAATAAATCCGTATGATACTTGTAGACAACTAGGGAATTGATTCATATATAACTTGTAGACAACCCAAGAACCAATTCTATAGTCGGAAACCAACTCGCTGTCATCTTTTTATTAAATTGAAATAGACAAAATAAATATAAGGCTTTATTATGTATGTATGATCTGAATTCATGTTGTATTTATAATATGACTCCTTGTCTTTCTGTTTGTATGTGGTATTTGTCTAATCAGTACATAAGAATTAAGATTATTTTGAGAAACCCCTATTTTACTTCGTTGCATAGTGTTTTTTAATTGTTTAAATATACACTGTACAGTAGTGTGCATTCAATTTACTTTTCGACTTTTTAAAAAATTGTTAATTAGGCAAATTAGCTATAGCATACAAAGAGTATAATACTATAAAAAGTATATAAAAACTATACTATAAAAAATTAAAAACCTAACTCTCAATCATTCGTTTCGCCTCATATGGCAACACTGTAACGTTCGTTGGCCCTCTCCTTCTTGTTTCCCATCAAGGCTTCAACAAGATTCTGCAACGGCAGATGTCATACCTGTTCCTTTTTGTTATACTGGTGGTTTGTTAGAATGCTCGATAGTAAAGCAGTTTTACCCGTTCACCGTTCATTCCACGAAGTGATTTCAGTAGTTCGTCATCCGTTGTTTAGTTTGCACATGGAGTGTTATGAAAATAATTGTGCGTGATGAAATTTAAAATATATTTGTGATGTGTGTTTAAAAAATAATTCGTGTGTTTGTGTAAAATGTCTGTTGCTTATGAAATGTATTGATGAAAACAATGCTCTGTTGCAAATGTATCAGGTAATATTATGTAAATTTATTTTATTATACGTATTTAAGTATTCAAATAATCGGTATGCACCAATAAATAATAATAAAATTAGTAGGTATACATCAAATTTCATCAAGACATTTACACCCCTCGTTAATCGAAATTATTTGGTTTAAATTGATAATTTAGTAAATTTTAATTTTATCTAAATAAAGATAGATATTAGATATTTTAGTTGAATTATGTCATTGATTTTTGAGACAGATATTTTTGTCTATGATGATCTCACTAAATCACTTAATTTGAATACGGAACGTAATTTTAACGGAAATACGAGTTAAAATTTGTATTTCGATGGAATTAGTTGACATATAGTGGATATTGAATGTAATTAAATTTACTATTTTATTTGATACAAGATAATAATTAAAACTGCGAAATTGATCTATGTAATATTCTTGGAATTTCAATAAAATAATGCTATAAATGGATTGAGTACTAAGTTTTACTGTAAATTACCAATGTTTTAACAAACTTAATTATATTGCTTACTTAGATAAGATAATTTTCGAATTCATTAATTAATAATATTTGAATATTTTAGTCAAATCATGTGAAGTATAACATATCGACAATATTCTTCATTATTTATCAATTCTTTACCCTACATTTATTTCAATTAAAATCGTTTTTATTTTCATTAAAAACCTATTAACAATATAAAAATAACTCACAAAAAACAGTTTATAATTGTATTTTAATTAATGTGTATTCTAAAAATAATATTGAAAATACCTTTTCCTGTTGTTTTTGTCCATTTTTTTTATACCAATATTGATTGAAATCCTTTAAATTTAAATTATAATATAAATTCTGACTTGAATTTATTGTTTGAATTCTATTTACTTAAAAAGTAGAATATAATTAAATATTTAGGTTACCTAACGCACGCAAAAATATGGATGGGCGTTGAAGATTTTTACATATTTAACATAAATATAGATATGTGAATAACGATTATTAACAAATAACAAATTATAACAGAAATATGATTTAGTAAACTTTATCTAACTGGCTATCTAATATTTATCACATAGATAAAAATTACTGATTGTTAAACGTGTGTATAAAAATACTGAAATATACATTTTCTATATAATTTGGGGGAGAGGTTAACCCTCCTTGTACATGCACCTGCAATAACCGTAATTTTTTTTTGAAATTAACAAATTATCTATTATTTGTTATTTGATTATAACACTACAATTTTGTACATTACTTCTGTTTAGCTGGTATAATATGTACAGATATAAACGAGACTGTATTAATGTTCTTCTTTCACAAGGTTAATTACCTCAAGCGTTTTCGAGAAAATAAGAAATACAGCAAATTAAATCAAAATTTGTATGGGCTGTACTTTTTGGTAAACTGAGCTCATAATATGTTGATATTTTTTTTTTGAGGTTAAAATTCACTGTAATTTTTAATCAATATATTTAATTTACACTACTACCCTACACTATGATGAATGGGGGTTAAATCATGAGTAAGACCACACGTCTCGTTTTGAACGGGGCTGTCTGGTTTTTCGAATCTTCGTGCCGTTGTTCTCAAGTAAATTTTCGGGACGCTAAAATGTTTCATTTTCAGAAAATAGTAAAAAATAACGATAATCAATTATAATCTGTCGATTATTTTATTATTTTATTATTATTATAGTTATTTTTTTTATTATATTTAACTATTATATGTGCACAATGCCGTATCTGGGGAGAATCTAGGGTGTCTGGACCCCCCAAAATGTCTTCAATATTTTATGAATGTTTAAAATAATTATTTATTTTTAATACCAATATAAATATTTTCAGTCAAAAATGACTTAAGCTCCAATTAACCATTGACTGCTTTTAGTTTTATATCATAATATCATATGAAAATATGATATTAATTTTAATAAAAGAAGATTAAATCTTTTTCCGTCTTATTTTTAACCAAATATCAAAAGTTAAAATCTAAATTCAATAAAATTACAATACACATGTTTTGGACCCCTCCTGAAAAAAATTTCTAGATACGGCCTTGTGTGTGCATTTTACGTATATATACTGTAAAGTGGCGTAGGAAGTCTACGCCAAGTAAGTTCTACTCGAATGCAATAATCGGTTTGAATGGATCCGTAGAGTCTCGTACGTTCGACAAAAAAAACGTTCGAGAGATATGAAAAATCGTTTACACTAGTGGATATTTTTTGAAGAAATTACCGTACAGAATAATCTCGACACGTGTGAATTAAAAAGGCCCAGTTTATTACTTTCGAAAATCGTCTTGCATTCTCGAAAAAAACGTGAGAGTTTTTATTATAGTGTAAACCAGTGTCGTATATAGGGGGGAACCTAGTGGGCTACAGTCCCCTCAAGATATTTTAAAAATCTTAAAAATTATTTTAAATGTATGTTATATTTGTGCTTTATGCTTATTTAGAATTTACGTCCAACATCAAATCTTTTTAGGACATTCTGTTAATGAAATGTAGATTAGTATCTACTGTATCTTGTTAGTAATTCTTAGATAGCAGTGGTAATTTAACTCTGTCCATAGTAGCCCCTCCCGAAAATATTTTCAGAAAACGCCACTGGTGTAAACAATCATGATACGATTTTCGAACAGGAAAATTTCGTATTCGACAATCGCCTTCAAGTTTCTTGAATGCTTGGTACGAGAGACTCTCCCCATCTAAATCCGCTTTTAAAGGTTAGTACTAGCATGATTTTTACGATAACCGTATATAACCGTTTACATTTTGTTTACATGTTACGATTTTCTCTAGACACAATTTCTCGAATAATTCAATTAAGAAACTCTTCCCGTCTAAATTCGCCTTTAAAATATTGTTATTTGTTATTTATTAGGTTTAAACAATTTTTTTGTAAGTATATAGAATTGTTAAACTTCTATGTAATCGTTACAAAAAGTATTTTATAATTATATTAATTATGTATGCCTATTGAGACCTGGTAAGTCCCAACAGCATATTATATTTTTACTTGAATAGAAAATATTTATTTTCATCGTTTATAAATGGGTAATATAATAAAATAAAGAATATAATATACACTTGAGTTATTTGTTAAGGTTATTTTTCAAATATGTTGTCCACATAAAAATCCGTAGCTGTAATTTACCTTGTAAACGTTATGTTTGGCTCCCCGTCGGGTTTTTGCCCGATAAGATTTTGCTGCCATTGGAGATTTTTTTTTAAATACTAGGACGTCCCTTGGTTTTTTGAATAATATGGTTTTGAATTTTAAATTAAGGTTAACTTATGTTGAGAAACTATTAAATATTAAAACTGAGTTTACAACACGGAATAAAATAAGAATTTAAAAATCTCAAAGAATAAATAACAGTAGTTTCATGAATTATTTTGTATATACGCTGCTTATTTTACATTTGTACATGTATATTCTGATATAAATACAAAATAATTATTTCTTTAGTTGTATAAACCAAGAATATAAATATTTTAATTTACAATTAACTCAAGCTACTCTTGAATACTATTTAATATTTTTTGAAAATTATTAATTATTTAGCGTCGTAAATTTTATACCTTTACCTTTGATTCATATTGTATTGTAGCATACTATTATTATAATGTTCAGATATATTACATTTAGTCAAATTAAGCTGCTCTTCGTCCTTAAAGTATTATACTAAATATTTTTCTATTATGCATTTATTTATGCTGTGTTATAGTCAATAGTGCAACCAGGATTTATTTTCAGAGGGTATATCCATTTGTAAAAAAAATGAATTTCGGAGGGTGTCAAGTGGAGGGAAAATGGGAAAAGGTTAAATAAACTACATATTTCAGGGACGGAGGTCATAATCCCCGTCCTCCTTATTTGCGTCACTAATTATAGTTTTTCTGTTTTACTTAATGTATATATATAGTTTTATAGTTTTACAAATTGCTAAATAATTTTATTACAGCATAAAAGTAATATATAGTTGATATAATTTTCCAACAAAATCAAAATATGAAATATTATTTTATAATAATTTTGACTTAATTTTTTATTTGATATTTGTAATATTGTTATTTGTATTATAAAGTTCGAGTGTACATTCTTTATTGTGTTCATTTGTTAATGGCTTAGTTATATTTATTTGTATTCATTTTAAAACAGTAATTAATTATGGGATAAAATTATAGAATTCAAAAAATCGGCTTTGAATAATTGATATAATATATATTAATTTATTACATATATATATAATAAAATAATTGTGTATGCTGGTATTCAAAAACTCCAGTATTAATTTTATTTAACAGTATCTAAAATAATCGATTTTAAACTATTAATATTTGAAATTTTTACTGTGTTCTAGATAATGTTCTAGATAAATAAGTCATTAATGACTATGTTATCCAGGATTGTTAATATATGCGTATTAAACGTAAAAAGAACTAAAGCGTATATATTTTGTTTTTGAAATTTACTCTTAAGAAAATAAAATACTTCCTATTTCAGATATTAAGTTAGGCTTATAATTTTTATACTTCGTTAAAATATATTAGGTAGTTAATAATTATATATGTTTCATAAATTATAAAAAAATGTTTTTATTTGAAATTTCATTTATTCATTTTTTCGAATAATAAAATTAAATACTGCTTCTTATGCAGTATTCAATCTAATGATTAATTTGCAGAAATTCTGATGTTTATCTATCATTAGTTTTCCTCTAAACTCTTGATATGACCAGTGGCGGATTTAACGGGAAAATAATGGACATTTGCCGCCTGGGCCCCTACCCGTAAAGACCCTCGGGCCCCAGACCCAGTCATCAATTCACTAATTTTCATTTCAAAAAAAAAATTAAAATAGAACAGAAATGGACCACGATTTTGAATATTCTTTTCGATACTATAAAAACGTTGTCCGGTTTAAGCATGGTCACCGAGAAAATTTACAAAATTATGAATATCCTGGAATTTACTTGAATATCAATAAATTAATTTCCC